AATAGGAGATGACCAGTATATTAACCCTTAAACTGTCCAAGCAGATCTATGTTCACATGCGTAGTGCTCCAAAAGTAAATCAACTTTTTATTTACATATTTTCAAATATAACAAAAAAAAAAAAAAACCGTAGATCAAAGTTTTTTTACACGTTTTCAAATGAAAAAAAAAAAATCTACTTTTTTTACATACTTTCAAATGTTGAAAAAACGTAGATCTACGTTTGGACAGTTTAACCCTTAAATGGTCCAAACGTATATATACGTTTTTTCAACATCTGAAAATATGTAAAAAAAATGTAGATCTTCTTTTTTGTTTTATATTTGAAAACGTGTAAAAAAACTTTTATCTACATTTTTTTTTTGTTATATTTGAAAATATGTAAAAAAAAGTAGATCTACTTTTGTAGCAATACGAATTTGAACGTCGATCTGTTTGGACCGTTTAAGGGTTAAAAAAAAAATATTCTTAACAATGCTAAGCCTCTGTCATAAGCTAATACAAAAAAAACTATTTTTACCTTGAACCTTAAGGGAAGTTAGCCTTTTTTTTTTTGTAGAAAATACTTTCAAAGCCTTTACTGAAGTTTTTTCAATTTTCAATGAATATCAAGCTGCAATAATGCAATCAGCAAATACTGTGAATAATGGAACACAAGCAACTACCCATGACCAACGAATCTGTACCCATGCCCACTCACCAAACTGTAGTGATATTTATCTTACTGACCACTTCTCTAATTGTAATAAAGTTGGTAGAATTACCGACAATATGTAAAGTAAAAGGACACAAGTGCAACTAATGTGACATTTTATTGTGGCAACGTTTCGCTCTCTAAGAGCTTTGTCAAGCCGTTACAAACAGTACCCTCTGTGTCCATGTACTGTTTGTAACAGCTTTATAAAGCTCCTGGAGAGAGAAACGTTGCCACAATAAAATGTCACATTAGTTGCACTTGTGTCCTTTTACTTTACTTCTCTAATTCTTAAGGGAAAAATTAAGATGGTTCCAGACAAACGTTCACTACCTGCTCCTCTTCTCATTTTTTCTATACAATAATAGAAAACATTTACTGTAAAAACTTAAAAAAAAAAAAAAATGAAATACAGGAGAAAATGTTGCCAAGGCCACATGACGGTTCACTCCAGTGATCCCAGATCTGTAATAATAATATGATACATTGAAATATTGCAAGTTCCCTCCCTTCCCAAACAAAAGTCCATTTTATGCTGCATGTACTGTGTTTTAATGCAATTTCACAAAAAAACACAAATAACCCGACACAGCCGATATGGCATCATGAGTTTCTTTCTCCTACGCGTGGGTTGTGTATTGTTCCAGTCACGGTAATGTGCCTTTTTCTTCTTCATAAATAAACATTACCAAGTACATCTATCAGACAGTTGCTGGATTACATTTTGAAAATTCATGTATTAAAGTTTATTACTGTAATGTACGACTAACAGTTTCACCGCATCAATTGCATTTACGCGATCTACACTGTTTTGTAAATCACGGAAATAAATTTAATCCATAGACAAAGAAAAAAAAGTCGTGTGGGTCACCCTTCGCAATTAAAAGGAATAGTGTGGATAAAATGAATGGTACTATGAAGTGAATAGTATGAGGTATAATGAATAGTGTGGATAAAATGAATAATATGAATTATAATGAATAGTATGGATAAAGTGAATAGCTTGGATTATAATGAATATGGATAAACATAGCAGTATGAAAATTATAGTATAAAATAATGTAGTAAAAGCCTAAATAACCAAGATAATGCATAAATAAAAAAAAAGTAAATTAGACATTTATTAAGAAAATGTAACCAACTAATTCAGAGTCCTTTAAAAAAAGGATATTACTGTATAAACATAAAATAAAAATTATCATCTATATATACAGTATTCATCTTGCTATTATAATAGAAGCATTAAACCCAATACCGTAATGCTCAAAAAACTTAACCAATATGTTCATGCCATCATGCTAAGGTTAGATCTACCGGCAAGTAACATGCTTACCACCACCTGTAAACAAAATCTTATGACAAAACTCACTTGAAAAATGAACAATACAATCATTAATACATATACTGCCAGTGGAAATATTTTCAATAAAGGCTTGCTGGATCTCTGAGTTGGAAGTGCATAGGTATAAACACAGGGGGTGGTCTCTGTAAGGTCAGATAATTGTCATATATTTTGTAATACTGGGCCACAATTACCATATTTTGCGGCATATAAAACGCATTTTTATTCTTCAAAATCTGACCCTCAAAATCACCCTGCTTCCTACACAGTGAAAGTCAATCACGAAACTTGAGTCCTAGAGGTGGGAAGTACAGTGCAGACGGAAGTACACTGTATCCACACACCTCCTGCAAGATAGTGAGTGTAAATGACATTGAAAATGTTTCTTTTACGGGTCATCTTGTTTCAGTGGGAGATGGCCAGCATGTTGAAAAAATATACAGTGAACCCCTGTATCCACTTGTTCAGTATCCATGGTTTCAGCTATCCATGTTTAACTGTAGCCCAAAAGTAACTCTTAATTTTGAATAATAATGGCCCCAAAGCACAAAAGTAAAGCTGGTGGTTTTTCAAAGCTGAAGAGAAGCCATGAAGTGCTTCCCATCGGTGAAAAAGCAATAATTCTCCACTTATTGTGCATAATTTATCAGTTAAACTTTATGATAGGGATGTACAGGACTTATATACAAGGTTTGTTACTATCTGCAGTTTTGGTATCCACGGAAGGTCCTCGGAACATATGCCCTGCGGATACTGGGGTTCTACTGTATCTTTTCTTTCAACAAACCGGCTGTATCCCACCAAAGCAGGGTGGCCCAAAAAGAAAAACAGAAGTTTCTCTTTTTAACTTTAGTAATGTATACAGGAGAAGGGGTTACTAGCCCCTTGCTCCTGGCATCTTAGTCACTTCTTACGACACGCATGGTTTGAAGAGGAAGAATTCTGTTCCACTTCCCCAAGGAAATAAGAAGAAATAAACAAGAACAAGAACTAGCAAGAAAATAGAAGTAAACCCAGAGGGCTGTGTATATATATGCTTGTACATGCATGTGAAGTGTGACCTAAGTGTAAGTAGAAGTAGCAAGACATACCTGAAATCTTGCACGTTTCTTCTTTCAACAAACCAGCCGTATCCCACCGAGGCAGGGTGGCCCAAAAAGAAAAACGAAAGTTTCTCTTTTTAAATTTAGTAATTTATACAGAAGGGGTTACTAGCCCATTGCTCCTGGCATTTTAGTCGCCTCTTACAACACGCATGGCTTATGGAGGAAGAATTCTGTTCCACTTCCCCATGGAGATAAGAGGAAATAAACAAGAACAAGAACTAGTAAGAAAATAGAAGAAAACCCAAAGGGGTGTGTGTATACATATGCTTGTACATGTATGTGTAGTGTGACCTAAGTGTAAGTAGAAGTAGCAAGACGTACCTGAAACCGTGCATGTTTAAGAGGCAGAAAAATGTACACCAGTAATCCTACCATCATGTAAAACAATTACAGGCTTTCATTTTACATTCTCTTCACAAGACAGTAGCACCTCTCTGGGCGGTTGCTGTCTACCAACCTACTACCTAGGAAATACAATAAATATCAGTAGAAAAAAAAAAGGTAATAATGAATCTCATAGCTGAGGCCACGGTCATAGCACAGAGTTGAGACACAAGCATTAGCTAGCATTCACTGCAGACACTTGCAGTGGAAGCACAGCCAACACTGTTATACTGATAAAATACACAGGAAGTACAGTATTACTGGTAATGTGAAATATGCAGTAAAATAAAATGTAAAAACACAAAAAAGCATTAACAAACATTAAAGTGGTATTGTCAATACCAGCAGACAACAAATGTCACAATCAAAACACTGGAACCAGCATAGCCTTCAGCTGTTCACTGCCTATAGAAAAATTTCCCTCAATTTTAGTTTTCCAACATTTTTCGTGCTAAATTAGAGTGCATCCTATGTGCCGGTGCGTCTTATATGCCACAAAATACAGTACTTAACCTATAATCACACAATATCAATACCGAAGCTCAAAGACTTTAATTCAATGAACACTGTCAGTTAATGAGTTTGAAAAATGCACACACTTCATTATCAAAAAAAAAAAAGGGGGGAGGTGAAAATTATCAGTCATAATGGGAATAATTCACAACTCACAAATTCAAAATAGAAATGAAACCAGAGGATGTTTCAATCAGTCCTGGGGCATCATCAAGACAGGATAATTAGTGGTCGAGAATGAATCAAAATACTCTCACATCATTGTTAATTTGCGAGATAGTAATAAATTAATTACCGTATGAGCAGCAGTAAATAACCTAGCTTTGCAAAAGAGCATTTGAAATAGCGTACTAGAATTTTTTAGTTTAGAAATAATGGCTGTTAAGGCACTGACTGAGCAGACTAACACTTAAAATTTTCATAAGTCATGACAACAGAACTAAAAGCATATTCACAATTTTTTTAAACAAAGGGAATTCCTAAAGCAAATTTTTTTTTTTAACACATCGGCCATTTCCCACTAAGGCAGGGTGACCCAAAACGAAAGAAAAACCCAAAAAGAAAGCAAATACATTAATGCCCTAACAAAACAGGGAGCATGAAACTGAAGATGCAAAACTAAAGGAAAAAATAAGCATTTATCAAAAATCTGGTAAAATAAAATAATGTAAAATCAATAAAGCCCATATGAAATGGGCAAGAGTCAGGGAATTAACAGGTGTATTTTAGAGTTTCAGGTCAGAACCTGAACTTTTTTTATAACTTTCTTTATTCTAGGTAATATGTAAGGAATTAAGATAACTATTACAAAAGTTATACATGTGGGAGACGGCCAACCTGTTGAAAAAAAAAAAAAAGTACAGAAACATAATTTACTCATCATATATCTATAAACAGTATCATTGTAACTAAAAATGAATTATTATTATAATTATCATCATCACGTGTAATGGTACCTCACCTGTCATTGATAAACTTGATAGCATCATATGGAGAATCAACATTCATAATGGGCAGAATGGGTCCAAATATTTCTTCAGTCATCACCTGGAAATTGACAGTGCTGTGTAGTATGATAAGGGTTCTTCATACTGAGAAATTAGCCACACTTAGTAAACTTTCAACAATGTTTAAGTCTGTCATGTACCACTATCAAGTCACAGCTGGGATTTTATACTGGTTCAGGACAGACCTGAGATAGGGTGACCCTGAAAAAGAAAAGCGAGGGGATTCAGGGAAACTGGTTAGCTGGACTTGAGTCCTGGAGGCGGGAAGTGCAGTGCCAACACTCTGAAGGAAGGGTGGGGATATCTGCAGTTTAGAGTAGCATCTGAACTGTAGTACTGGCATGCCTCTGGTAAGACAATGAAGGAGTGAATGATGGTGAAAGTGATTCTTTTTGGGTCATCCTACCTAGGTAGGAGACAACCAGTGTCTTTAAAAAAAAAAATTATGTGAGTACAGGTTACTCACATCACTTAAAAAATATTAGTTACAGACCAGGCCGCGGGGGCATTGAGCCCCGAAACCCTCTCCAGGTATAATCCAAGTGTAGAAGTGCATTTTCATTAATTACTTCTCTCTTCTCAACACAGGTGTGTTACATCAATTACTACTTATTTTATTTTCACCTTCCAGTTCTATGGTTTTGCAACACTGACAGACTGAATAGATCACTGGCTCCTTAGCCAGTACTTAAAAACCTTCTAATCTTTTAAAAGTTACAGGAAATTTGTGTCAAAATATTAATATAATCTAATCGAACATATACTGTTCTATAGTTCATTACCTTGCTTTTGGGAGAGACATCCACTAAAATGGTAGGAGATACCCATTTTTCTTCTTTATTCACATCCCCACCAATTACAACTTTGCCATCCTTAAGATACTCTGCTAGTCGCCTGTAAATACATTTGGAAATTAATTTCAGTATATTTTGTCGTCTCTTGGTGGGATGACTGTTGTGTTAAAAAAAAATATTTTGTATTAACCACATTAATAAAAGGAACAAGGCTGACATCTTAATTTATTATACACTAATCAATAATTTACTTAAGCTGTCTGTATAACGTTGCATCCTTGTTCCATCACTAATTACTGATGTCATTTGTACATTGACCATCTATGAATTTTAGAACTACCCTGAACACAAGTTTCTCTATTCATGTCATAACATGAATACTTTCATAATGTCTGAAAGTTTATTTAGTGTCTAAAATTTTAAAATTTACTCACTCCACATGCTTTTCAGACACAATCCTGCAAAGATCAGGAGAACTCTTAGGATCATCCCCATACCACTCTTGGAGAACCTCCCGTGCCTTGTCCACAAACTTGTTTTGTACTTGCTTAGAACACAGAACGTAATCAGGTGCAATACAAGTTTGGCCAGCATTAATACACTTTCCCCACAAAATGCGTCGAACTGCAATATCCATGTCAACGCTCTCATCAATGTAGAGTGGACTGAAAGAAAAACAGTCATTTGTAGGATTAAAAAAGTAATTTAATGAAAGTACAGGTGCTCCTTGACTTACAATGAGGTTACATTCCAATGAACCTGTTGTAAGTTGAAAATATTGCAAGTCAAATATGAATATGACATGCTAAATAAATAAGTAAATAAATAACTTCTGTCACTGAATAAGTAAATAAACAAATAATTACTATAACTAAATACCAGTGCTGAAAAGTAAATAAAAGTTACGGACTTGCCGCCCTTAATGCTGGGTAATTATCTTAAGTTTCATTTCCAAAGTAATTGCTTTTGTACCATCGTAAAGTCAAAATATTGTAAGGCGAACCATCATAAGTCGAGGAGAACCTTTACTGACATTTTAATTTAAGTAAGATCACGAAGATAATCCAAAGCTGGCAAGAGGTCACACATTTTATAAAAGATTATAAAGTAGTAAATATAAACGTAATTACTTACCTTTTACCACCTAACTCAAGAGTAGTAGGAGTAAGATACTTATTGGCAGCATCTCTCACAATTTTGCCAACTTGAGGTGATCCCGTGTAAAAAATGTAGTCAAAACGTTGCTTCAGCAACTCTGTGGTCTCTGAAACTCCTCCACACACAACTTGAAAGCATTCCTGTAATACACAGTACATTTAGTAATGCTAAATACTGCCAAGAATAAGAGAAAAATTTAGACTTGTACATACCTTGTTCACTGCACATGTCACTCATGCACACACACACACACACACACATGCATGTGCACAGGCACACACACACATGCGCACACATGCACATGCAAACACACGTGCACGTGCGCACACACACACATGAAGCCACATATTCTCCCTTGGCAAGTCATGTTAAATATCCCATCTCCTAAAGACGTATTGGTTAGAACAACCTGAATTTGATTCCTCTTAAAACAGTACTTTAAACTTTACACATTATAGATTACACACAATTCAACCTGATTCAGTACTTCACATCTCTTAACATTTATACAAAGTACAGTATTATTATTCCTTTCAATACAGCCTCTCCTCACTTAACGACGGAGTTCCGTTCCTAAGACTACATCGGTAAACAAATTCGTCGCTATGTGAAGAGCATACTATAATGGCAGTGGGTTTGTGTCAACCATCTTTGATGCTGCATACTGGTCAGAGAGCCTGTCGTAAGTCCGAATTGTCGATAAATGATTACATCGCTAAGTGAGGAGAGGCTGTATTTACATACATACCTGTACAACTCCTAAAGCAAAGCATTGTAAAAAAAAAAATTACAATTCATATATCAATCTGTTTTAATTACAATTTTCTATGGACTCGTCCCAAACAAATTCCTCACAGCAGTCTTAAGCCATGTGCAGTATGTTTTTCAGCTCATGCAGTATTTAAATTACTTAGTAAATCTTTCTTTTTATTTCTCTTAAAAGAAGAGTGAAGATTTTTTCCAAATATTGCTGCAATAAGTTTCTTGTACAATATGCATTCAAATGCTATCAGTTCACCTAATTGATCCATGTTCAGAATATTATCTGCAGCCCTGTGCATATTTAATTCACCAACTTCTGCAATAAATAATCTACAAGTACGTACTTAACCCTTTGAGGGTTTCGGACGTACTAGTACGTCTTACGCGAAGGGGTTTTTGACGTACTAGTACGCACAAATTCTAGCGCCGTCAAATCTCGCGGGAAAAGGCTGGTAGGCCTACATGTGAGAGAATGGGTCTGTGGTCAGTGTGCGCGGTAGAAAAAAAATCTGGGACCCAGTGGTGCATTGTGGGAACGCCATCTTAGTAAACAATATCCACCATGCCTCGTGGTAAGAAGCTCCTCACTCCTCAGCGAATTGGGACACTTTTGTTCCCCATTGACAGTTCTAATACAGATGGAAGTACCAGTGAAGATGAGTTTCAAGGTTTCGGTGAGGTTTTGACCGAAACTAATGACCATAATATCGGTAATAGTGAGGAAAACCCAGACGACCCTCAGCCTTCCACCTCTGGTGCTGGGCCGTCTTGTTCACGTTCAGTTGTACCAGAATCCAAGAGGAAACTTCTATTTTCCCAAATCCCAGACTCAGATGAGAGCATGGGTGATGATAGTGATAGTGAATATGAACTACAAGCTCTTCAAACTAGTTCCAGTAGTGATAGTGAAGTGCAATATTCCCCAGTGAAGCGTCAGTATATATGACGATATATGCGCTCTGGTAGTGTGCCATATGCTATTCCAAGGGGAAGGAGTGCATCTTGGAGTACATCCCGTGGCTGTACAACAGGAACAGAGAGTGAAAATGACGATGATACTGTTGCAATTGGGATGGAAAATGTGCGTGGTGGTAGTGGTGTAGGCGGTGAGGCACCAGCAGTGGGCCATGCTGCCACCCACGCCGCTGCCTCAGCTGATCTACAACAAAGGCCACCATCCCCCACCCACCCACCACACCAGCCTCCACAACCACCTGTCATTGTCCAGTACCCACCAGCAGACCGCACCTGGGATTGGCAGGAAGCTGTCAATTTTGTTCCAAATGCCCACCAGTTTGATGACAGCCAAAGTGGAATATGGCCATCTTGTACACTTGGGAACAATGCCACTGAACTGGAATGTTTCGAGTTATTCTTTGACGAACCACTGATGGAAAGTATTGTCATGGAAAGCAACACATACTACGAGTACACCTTGGCAAACACATTACTTTCACCAAAATCACGTCTACACCAGTGGAAGGAGGCAACTGTGGCTGAGATGTATCTTTTCTTTGGCACAATAATGCTTATGCCACATGTGTATAAGCACAAAGTGAAATCATACTGGTCAACAGACAGCCTGATTGCAACCCCAGGTTTCAGTGATATAATGCCAGTGAATCGATTTGTGCTAATGTTATGTATGCTTCACTTCTCAGACAAAACCAGGCCTGACAGAACTGACAGGTTATATAAGATCAGGAATGTGTTTGTGTATCTGAAAGAGAAATTCAGTACGCATTTTTATCCCTTCAGGAAGCTTGTAATTGACGAGTCTTTGATTCTGTTCAAAGGAAGACTCTCTTTCAAGCAGTACATACCAAGCAAGAGGAAACGCTTTGGTATAAAGTTGTTTGTGCTTTGTGATTGTTACAGTGGTCTGGTATTGGATATTGTTGTGTACACTGGAAGTTATACATTGCAAAATACAGTGGACCCCCGCATAACGATTACCTCCGAATGTGACCAATTATGTAAGTGTATTTATGTAAGTGCGTTTGCATGTGTATGTTTGGGGGTCTGAAATGGACTAATCTACTTCACAATATTTCTTATGGGAACAAATTCGGTCAGTACTGGCACCTGAACATACTTCTGGAGTGAAAAAATATCGTTAACCGGGGGTCCACTGTACCAGGAAGTTATTGGGCATCTCAGGTGATGTGGTTAGAACAATGATAGAACCATACCTTGGTATGGGGCATATATTATATACAGATAACTGGTACACAAGCCCCTCACTCAGTGATTTTTTGCGAGTGAACATGACAGATGTGTGTGGCACAGTGCGTGCAAATCGGAAACATATGCCCAGGTTTGACGCTGGCACTCATAGAGGTGAGGTGCAAGCGTTTGCTGCCAATGACATCATGGCATTTCGGTGGCATGACAAACGAGATGTCACACTGTTGTCATCAGTTCACCCTAATGAAATGGCAGACAGTGGCAGGCAGCATAGAGAGAGCAATGAACCCATTCTAAAACCTGCAGCTGTGATTGATTACACCTTCAACATGCGTTCAGTGGACAAATGTGACATGCCTTCACTGCCGTCAACATGACTTAAGAAATCGTAATGACACGATTGCAAACAAACCATACCCCCGGCCGGGATTGAACCCGCGGTCACAGAGTCTCAAAACTCCAGCCCGTCGCGTTAGCCACTAGACCAGCTAGCCACAATAAGATTCATCCAACTAGGTATATTTCTACACCATAGGAAGGTTAGCACAGGCACCTCTGTGACCACAAATGCAAGTTTTTACAGACGAATCTCCAGCTAGCGTGGCCGTGACGAACTCTAGCTCAAGTCCCTTCACTGCCCTCAACATGACTTAAGTCATGTTGACGCCTCCATATCTTGGTAAGTATTGAAGGTAAAAATTTTTTGTTTAGCCTATAATGTTTAGAAAAAAAAACTTTTTTCATAAGAAAAAATATTTTTTTTTTTTTTTTTGAAATTTGGCCAACCCTGAGAACAAGTTTCGGAGAGGGCCTGTCGACCCTCAAAGGGTTAAAAGCGTTGAATGATGGTGAGAGTGTTTCTTTCTCTTTGGGTCACCCTGCTTTGATGGGAAATGGCCGACGTGATTAAAAAAAAAACATGCAATTTGGAGGCAACACAAATTTTAACATACGTTATCCAGATACTTGGGGATGAGCTCAGCAATTGTTTCTGCTGTTGCAGATGAAACTTCTGACGGCTTGATGATGGCACAGTTACCAGCAGCTATAGCACCTGAGATCAAATGAAAATGGATATTTGATATTAAAGTAACACTTAACAGTAAACACTCCCCATATAACTTTTTCAATAATAATAAATAACAACTGGGGGTCATCCTAGGAAAGGATGGAAGGAGGGGGTAAAGGAGGTTTTGTGTGCAAGGGGCTTGGACATGCAGCTGGCATGTGTGAGCATGTTAGACAGGAGTGGAGACAAGTGGTTTGTGGGACCTGACGAACTGTTGGAGTGTGAGCAAGGTAATACTTTGTGAAGAGATTTCAGGGAAACCAGTTAGTCAGACTTGAGTCCTGCACTCAAGGAGGGGTTTGGGATATTTGCTGTTTGGAGGGATATCTAAACTGTTGTATCTGCACACCTCTGGCAAGACAATAGTGGAAGACGACCAGCATGTTAAAAAATAATAATAATAACAATGATAAAATTTTATTTTTTAAAACATGCATGGATATTACAGTAACTGGGTTAATAGTTTGCTTGTGTACAGATTTGGAACAGCTCTAGGATTACAATTTTGCATGCTCAGGCAGACTGAAACAAGTAGTGTACTTATAAATTATCTAATACTAGCGCAGGTATTAACCCTTTCAGGGTCCGTTCCATAGATCTATGGCTTTACGTTCAGGGTCCAAATCGTAGATCTACGCCATGAGCTCAGCTCACTCTGATAAGCTGTGAGTGGTAAATCTGGGCCTAGATACGAGAGAATACATCTATGTGGTATGTGTGCACCACATAAAATAAATCCTGCAGCACAGTGTATAATGAGAGAAAAAAAAACTGAGACCATGATTTTCGATTAAAACAGCGACTTTGCAGTGTTTTTTCATATTTTTTTTATAGCTGTACGTATTTGCGATTTCTTGGTCTCATTTGATAGAATGGAAGACATATTACAGAAATGGAGATGATTTTGATTGGTTTTGGTACTGGAAATGGTTTGAAACTGAGCTCTAAGTAACGGAAATGTTAAATTTTTGTCGATGTTCAAGAGTAAACAAACGACCTCGCATGTCTAATACATGCCAGCTGGTGGGTCTAATTTACATTCACAAATGTGTTGATGATATTTATACAATTACTACAATATTGCATAACAGTAAATCTTCTATTTTTTGGTTTGAATAAAAATTCATTATGTGAATAAAAAATCAAAATGGAATTCATTTGTAAAGCCTGAAAACATAAACTAATGAGCAGAGGAAATGTTAGTTTAGTGCCAGGAATGCCTGCATTGTTTATTCTGGACCCTATTTTGAAATTGGAATATTTTGAACTTTGTCTTAAATTGGCCAAATTACCAATTTCCGATCACTTTATTTTGTAGTTGAAACAGTTGACTGGGCGATTTCTTGTGCTCAATTGATAGAATAGAAGTAATGCTAGTGAAATAGCTAAGAATTTGGTCGACTGGAATAATGTAATTGGCCTAAAATGGGAGTCAAAGTCAGCAAAATCGCCGATTCGTAAATATCGCTGACACGTCAAAATTCACGAGAGCATAATTTCATAAATTTTCCATCAAATTTCGTACTTTTTGTTTTATTACCTTCAGAAAAAGATTCTCTACCATTTCATAAGAAAAAATAATTTTTTTTTTTTTTAAATTCTTGGACACTGGTGCATCCTTTGAAATTTGGCCTCTGGACCCTGAAAGGGTTAATATAGGATATATATACCACAGGTGTTCAGATAAGAACCATAGTATGCAATCTAAGTTTTAAGTGATAATGCAGCACAAGTATTTTCTGTACAAAATATGACGAGTTACAATGGGTAGTTTAGATCATCATGGGAAGGTAACATTTCAGTAACTTAGTGCTTTAACCCTTTGAGGGTTAAAGACATCACAAAAAGCAGACTGATTGAATTCCCACAATAATCATTCCTCTGAAAAAAAAAAAAATCTGTTTTTCATATAAATAAGTTTAATAACTTGCAAAACACCATTTTATCCCAAATATCTTTACCCTGCCTCGGTGGGAGACGGCCGACTTGTTGAAAAAAAAAAAAAAAAAATCTTTACCAATGACTATACACAATCTTCAGTAATTTATTGAACATTAACAGCAAGGTAACTATTATTACTGTATAATCATGGTAGGTAGTAAGTTGATAGACAGCAACCACCCAGGGAAGTACTACCGTCCTGCCAGATGACTGTGAAACAGAAACCTGTAACTGTTTTGCATGATGGTAGGATTGCTGGTTTCTTTTTCTGTCTCATAAACACGCTAGATAACAGGGATATCTTGCTACTCCTACTTACACTTTGGTCACACTTCACAGACACGCACATGCATATATATATATACATACATCTAGGTTTTTCCCCTTTTTCTAAATAGCTCTTGTTCTTCTTTATTTCTTCTATTGTCCATGGGGAAGTGGAAAAGAATCTTTCCTCCGTAAGCCATGAGTGTCGTATGAGGCGACTAAAATGCCAGGAGCAATGGGCTAGTAACCCCTTCTCCTGTAGTACAACATTTACTACAAAAGAGAAGAAGAAAAACTTTATAAAACTGGGATGCTTGAATGTGCGTGGATGTAGTGCGGATGACAAGAAACAGATGATTGCTGATGTTATGAATGAAAAGAAGTTGGATGTCCTGGCCCTAAGCGAAACAAAGCAGAAGGGGGTAGGGGAGTTTCGGTGGGGGGAAATAAATGGGATTAAATCTGGAGTATCTGAGAGAGTTAGAGCAAAGGAAGGGGTAGCAGTAATGTTGAAGGATCAGTTATGGAAGGAGAAAAGAGAATATGAATGTGTAAATTCAAGAATTATGTGGATTAAAGTAAAGGTTGGATGTGAAAAGTGGGTCATAATAAGTGTGTATGCACCTGGAGAAGAGAGGAATGTAGAGGAGAGAGAGAGAGATTTTGGGAGATGTTAAGTGAATGTATAGGAGCCTTTGAACCAAGTGAGAGAGTAATTGTGGTAGGGGATCTGAATGCTAAAGTAGGAGAAACTTTTAGAGAGGGTGTGGTATGTAAGTTTGGGGTGCCAGGTGTAAATGATAATGGGAGCCCTTTGATTGAACTTTGTATAGAAAGGGGTTTAGTTATAGGTAATACATATTTTAAGAAAAAGAGGATAAATAAGTATACAAGATATGATGTAGGGCGAAATGACAGTAGTTTGTTGGATTATGTATTGGTAGATAAAAGACTGTTGAGTAGACTTCAGGATGTACATGTTTATAGAGGGGCCACAGATATATCAGATCACTTTCTAGTTGTAGCTACACTGAGAGTAAAAGGTAGATGGGGTACAAGGAGAATAGAAGCATCAGGGAAGAGAGAGGTGAAGGTTTATAAACTAAAAGAGGAGGCAGTTAGGGTAAGATATAAACAGCTATTGGAGGATAGATGGGCTAATGAGAGCATAGGCAATGGGGTCGAAGAGGTATGGGGTAGGTTTAAAAATGTAGTGTTAGTGTTCAGCAGAAGTTTGTGGTTACAGGAAAGTGGGTGCGGGAGGGAAGAGGAGCGATTGGTGGAATGATGATGTAAAGAGAGCAGTAAGGGAGAAAAAGTTAGCATATGAGAAGCTTTTACAAAGTAGAAGTGATGCAAGGAGGGAAGAGTATATGGAGAAAAAGAGAGAGGTTAAGAGAGTGGTGAAGCAATGTAAAAAGAGAGCAAATGAGAGAGTGGGTGAGATGTTATCAACAAATTTTGTTGAAAATAAGAAAAAGTTTTGGAGTGAGATTAACAAGTTAACGAAGCCTAGAGAACAAATGGATTTGTCAGTTAAAAATAGAAGAGGAGAGTTATTAAATGGAGAGTTAGAGGTATTGGGAAGATGGAGGGAATATTTTGAGGAATTGTTAAATGTTGATGAAGATAGGGAAGCTGTGATTTCGTGTATAGGGCAAGGAGGAATAACATCTTGTAGGAATGAGGAAGAGCCAGTTGTGAGTGTGGGGGAATTTCGTGAGGCAGTAGGTAAAATGAAAGGGGGTAAGGCAGCCGGGATTGATGGGATAAAGATAGAAATGTTAAAAGCAGGTGGGGATATAGTTTTGGAGTGGTTGGTGCAATTATTTAATATATGTATGGAAGAGGGTAAGGTACCTAGGGATTGGTAGAGAGCATGCATAGTTCCTTTGTATAAAGGCAAAGGGGACAAAAGAGTGCGCAAAAATTATAGGGGGATAAGTCTGTCGAGTATACCTGGTAAAGTGTATGGTAGAGTTATTATTGAAAGAATTAAGAGTAAGACGGAGAATAGGACAGCAAATGAACAAGGAGGCTTTAGGAAAGGTAGGGGGTGTGTGGACCAGGTGTTTACAGTGAAACATATAAGTGAACAGTATTTAGATAAGGCTAAAGAGGTCTTTGTGGCATTTATGGATTTGGAAAAGGCGTATGACAGGGTGGATAGGGGGGCAATGTGGCAGATGTTGCAGGTGTATGGTGTAGGAGGTAGGTTACTGAAAGCAGTGAAGAGTTTTTACGAGGATAGTGAGGCTCAAGTTAGAGTATGTAGGAAAGAGGGAAATTATTTCCCAGTAAAAGTAGGCCTTAGACAAGGATGTGTGATGTCACCATGGTTGTTTAATATATTTATAGATGGGGTTGTAAGAGAAGTAAATGCGAGGGTCTTGGCAAAAGGCATGGAGTTAAAAGATAAAGAATCACACATAAAGTGGGAGTTGTCACAGTTGCTCTTTGCTGATGACACTGTGCTCTTGGGAGATTCTGAAGAGAAGTTGCAGAGATTGGTGGATGAATTTGGTAGGGTGTGCAAAAGAAAATTAAAAGTGAATACAGGAAAGAGTAAGGTTATGAGGATAACAAAAAGATTAGGTGATGAAAGATTGGATATCAGATTGGAGGGAGAGAGTATGGAGGAGGTGAATATATTCAGATATTTGGGAGTGGACGTGTCAGCGGATGGGTCTATGAAAGATGAGGTGAATCATAGAATTGATGAGGGGAAAAGGGTGAGTGGTGCACTTAGGAGTCTGTGGAGACAAAGAACTTTGTCCTTGGAGGCAAAGAGGGAAATGTATGAGAGTATAGTTTTACCAACGCTCTTATATGGGTGTGAAGCATGGGTGATGAATGTTGCAGCGAGGAGAAGGCTGGAGGCAGTGGAGATGTCATGTCTGAGGGCAATGTGTGGTGTGAATATAATGCAGAGAATTCGTAGTTTGGAAGTTAGGAGGAGGTGCGGGATTACCAAAACTGTTGTCCAGAGGGCTGAGGAAGAGTTGTTGAGGTGGTTCGGACATGTAGAGAGAATGGAGCGAAACAGAGTGACTTCAAGAGTGTATCAGTCTGTAGTGGAAGGAAGGCGGGGTAGGGGTCGGCCTAGGAAAGGTTGGAGGGAGGGGGTAAAGGAGGTTTTGTGTGCGAGGGGCTTGGACTTCCAGCAGGCATGCGTGAGCGTGTTTGATAGAGTGAATGGAGACAAATGGTTTTTAATACTTGACGTGCTGTTGGAGTGTGAGCAAAGTAACATTTATGAAGGGGTTCAGGGAAACCGGCAGGCTGGACTTGAGTCCTGGAGATGGGAAAGTACAGTGCCTGCACTCTGAAGGAGGGGTGTTAATGTTGCAGTTTAAAAACTGTAGTGTAAAGCACCCTTCTGGCAAGACAGTGATGGAGTGAATGATGGTGAAAGTTTTTCTTTTTCGGGCCACCCTGCCTTGGTGGGAATCGGCCAGTGTGATAATAAAAAAAAAAAATATATAATCATGGTGAACCTAGGTAGTAGGCTGGTAGACAGCAACCGCCCAGGGAGGTACTACCGTCCTGCCGAATGTAAAATGGAAACCTGTAATTGTTGTACATGATGGCAGGATTGTTGGTGTCTTTTCTTTTCTGTCTCATAAACACACAGGATAACAGGTATATCTTGCTACCTCTAATTACATTTAGGTCAAACTACAATGGATGTACATGTACGTATATACACACTTACCTGGATTTTCTTCTATTTTCTTAACAGTTCTTGCTCTTCTTTATTTCCTCTTATCTTCATGGAAAAGTGAAACAGAATTCTTCCTCTGTAAGCCATGTGTGTCATAAGAGGTGACTAAAATGCTTGGATAAAGGGGCTAGTAACCCATTCTTCTATATACATAACTAAATTTAAATACAAAAACTTTCATTTTTCTCTTCTTTTTAGGTCACCCTGCCTCGGCGGGATACGGCCAGTGTGTTGAAATAAAAATAATCATGGTGAGCCCTTCACTACCATCAAGTCAACCCCTCTCACAAGTAGTATGCCTGTAATAAAATCGTCTAGGAGAAAAAAACACTATACGTATAGTGGCATTACTAAACACCAGTTACATGAAGACATTCCAATAGAAAAATGTTCGTTTACCTGATAATGGCAGGAGACAAAGCTGAACTGGGTAGTTCCATGCTCCCATAATAAGTACAACACCATATGGGTCATGAAAAATCAAAGTCTTGTCAAATATGGTTACAATGTTGGTTGGTGTCTGTTGAAGAAAATGGTTTGTTACATTAAGGTATTTATCAAATAATTTGTATATTTTTCTACATATCTTCATGCAATATATCATAATTTTCTACATAAAAAGCTTTAAGTAACTTAGTCAAAATATATCAATGCCATTTTAATTTCACTTACTGTCTCTGGTTTCACCCACTCATCAATACGGGCAAGACTATGCCTTAGATCATCTATCAGAAGATTCAATTCAAGCAAAATGGACTCTTGTTTTGGCTGTTAAGAGAAAAAATATAAGTACAGTACAACCATTCTTCTTATGATTATTTTGTTAATAATGTCGAGAACCTGATACACATTCTTTCAAGTGTATCATGTAACTACAATCAAATAAACCATTTTTTTTTTTTACACAGGGTTTGACAAGGTTAAGGATCCCTAGCTTTATTGACAAGCTATTTACAGGTTAAGGATTCCTAACTTTATTGGCAAGCTAAGAGCTGTTGCTCTACAAGAAAGACTGCACATCAAAACAGCTTGGAGTTCATTAAATTGCCAGTTTCCTTTATGTTCATATAATTTATCCTCCTTTCCATTCACCAACCAAAATTGCAAATACGTGTTACTGATATGCACAATGAGAGGAGTGGATTAAGAGTTGTGACAGACTCAAGACAAGGAACTTGTAGAGAGCCCTGCCATTTCGTTTTATCATACATTGTGTCAACTAGTTTTGCTCTATTTTTTTTTCTACAGATATGAATTTTTGACAAAGTATTTGAAACTTAATTACAGTACAGTATTAGAAAAGCATTATACATTTGTGCCAAGATTCAGAACTTATTTTGCTGGGGTCCCTCTTTTGTTGGGGCCTCTAGGGTTTATCCTTTAGTTGCCACATTTAATCCGGTACTGCACATTAATTAGGAATTCAATTTAAAGGTATTATAATCAAATGGCTTATCATTTTAGCAGCCTTACTTGTGATAATATAGTGTATCTTTTATGTAGTATATAAACTACAAGGAAAATATAGTCAAGCCCAAGTTTCTAAATATTGTGTACATATATTCAATAAATGATAGAAAAATATTCTTACCTTATTGAGGTCTTTAGCCAATGCTTTGCAAAATGCAGCCTCATTCTCCTCATACATGAGTTTGAGGGCCTTTAACTGCTGTTTCCGAAATGAAACATCTTTTGTCTTACCAGACATAAAGGCCTCACGAGCCTTATGAACAACCTGTCGTTAAAAAAAAAAATGGTCGAGTGAGAATGATAAAAAAAAGCAAAATGAATAGCATATAATAATTTAAAAAAATATGCATGCTTACCACTGTATTAGAGGTCATGACAGTTAAACATTTGAGGGTGGATCCTGTTGTTCTATGGCTTTGAAGCCCAGGTTGGTCCCTTAGTGTTACGCCATGAGCTCAGCTCACTCAGGTAAGCTATGAGTGATAAATTTGAGCCTAGATATGAGAGAATGGGTCTATGCAGTAAGTGTGTACCATATAAAAAAATTCTGCAACAAGCAGTGCATAATGGGAGAAAAACACTGCAACTGTGTTTTTGGCTTAAATTGGTGACTTTGCAGTGTATTTTCATATTGTTTCTATGGTTGTATTATTGATGTCTTGGTCTCATTTGATAGAATGGATGATACATTAAAGAAATAGAGATGATTCTGAGATTTCAGGACTGAAAGATGCTTGAAATTAAGCTCAAAATAGTGGAAATGTTCGATTTTTGCCGATATTCCACAGCATGAAAGACAGCACTCATCCAATGCGTGTCAGTCTGTCCAGTCTAATACACTTGCAATGTCATTTTTATTTTTATTTTTTTTATTAACAAATTGAATAATTCCCACCAAGGCAGGGTGGCCTGAAAAAGAAAAACTTTCATCATCATTCATGCCATCACTGTCTTGCCAGAGGCATGCTTACACTCCAGTTATAAAACTGCAACATTAACACCCCTCCTTCAGAGTGCTGGCACTGTACTTCCCGTCTCCAGGAATCAAGTCCGGCCTCCTGGTTCTCCTGAATCCCTTCACAAATGTTACCTTGCTTATATTTCAACAGCACATCAAGTCCTAAAAAACATTTTTCTCCATTCGCTCCAATTTAACATGCTCACGCATGCTTGCTGGAAGTCCAAGCCCCTCGCACACAAAACTTCCTTTACCCCTTCCCTCCAACCTTTCCTAGGCCAACCCCTACCCTGCCTTCCCTCCACTACAGATTTACACTCTCTACATCATTCTATTTCGTTCATCCTCTCTACATATCCAAGCCATCTCAATAACCCCTCCTCAACCCTCGGGATGATAGTTTTGGTAATCCCGCACCTCCTCCTAATCTCCAAACTACTGTTTCTCTGCATTATATTCACACCACACATTGCCCTCAGACATGACATCTCCACTGCCTCCAGCCTTCTTGTTGCAACATTCACAACCCATGCCTCACACCCATACAAGAGCGATGGTATAACTATACTCTCATACATTCCCCTCTTTGATTTCATGGATAAAGTTCTTTGTCTCCACAGACTCCTCAGTGCACCATTCACCTTTTTCCCCTTGTCAATTCTATGATCCACCTCATCCTTCATAGACTCATCTGCTGACACGTCCGCTCCCAAATATCTGAACATATTCACCTCCTCCATACTCTTTCCCTCCAATCTGATATCCAATCTTCCATTACCTAATTTTTTCACATTATTTATACAATTATTACAATAATGCATTAGTCTGCATAACAGTAAATTTTCTATTTTGTGTGAATAAAAATTCTAAATGGAATTCATGTGCAATTTTGGAGAGGCCTTGGAAAGTAACTAATGAACAGAGGAAGTATTATTTTAGTGCCAGGAATGTGTGTATTATTTATTCTGGACCCTGCTTTGAAATTGGCATTTCTTGAATTTTGTGTGAAATTGGCCAAATTACCATTTTCTGATGACTTTATTGGGTAGTTGAAATAGCTTAAATGGGCAGTTTCTTGTACTCACTTGACAGAATAAAAGGAATATTAGAGAAATAGCTAAGATTTTGGTCAACTGGAATAATGTAATCGGCCTAAAATTGGACTCCAATTGGGCAAAATTGCTAATCAATAAATATTGCTGACACAGCAAAATTCACAAAAGCATAGTTTCATAAATTTTCTGTCAAATTTGCTACTTTTTGTTTTATATGTATTATTACCTTCAGTAAAAAGATTCTCTACTTTTTTGTTTTTTAAAATTTCCGACCCTGACAGCAAGTTTGAGAGCAAGGACCCCCAACCCTCAAAGGGTTAAAAAGAATTACCGTACAACTAAGTGATAAGTCTCTTCACCTAGATAGAAATTCCATGTTTTGTGACCTTGAGCCATAAGATATGATAACACCTGAACTGATAAGGATGATTTCTTGGCTAGAAACAAGGAATGCTACATTTATAACACTATTACTGATACAGTATTTAAAAACTCTTGATTGTATTGTTAGGTAAATAAAATCTAGGTAAAGATCTTAACCCAATATTACAATACCTGAATATTTAAAAACTCTTATTGTTATCACAAGACATATAGCTTTAAACCTTTTGTTCTAACGCTGCTGATCTTATACAGTAGGTGTCATAAATATACTTGTGCATAAGTAAGCTTTTACCGGATTATTTGCCTGACAATTTTGAGAAGTGCCAGGGCAGCTTTTGAATTTTATGTTTATGCCTTGCCATACTGCCAAACATAAAGAAATGGCTAAATGATTGTGATTTACCATATTTTAATGACTAGCCTGGAATTTCAAGTGACTTTAATCTGACTGAAAACATATGATACTAAATACAAGCATGGACGTGTCCTCTAACCCCAAAATTCCAAATGCTAGTAAGGTGTGGGAGGGTATCGACTCCTCTACCCTCCATAAGTTAGCATTATTAGTGCCTAGGTGACTAAAGGAGTGCATCAAGAGGGAGAGAAATCCTGCAATGTACAGGCAGGCCCCGCTTATGCACCATCTTGGGTTTTGGGCTACTGATGTGAAACGAAAATTGCTTGAAAGTGAAACAGCCTTTTTTCACTTTCAAATGCACATAAAATCCTGATAATATGTTTCCATTATCATATATTAAGTGAGCAACAGAGCTAGGCCTAAAAAAATGCATATACAATAAACACATTACTTACCTTAAAATGTTTTCATCCCTGGCTCATAGTGAATGGTCAATATATTTATTGTAGAAATCTGAATAAATGAAGAATGGGTAAAATTGAAAACCACTGCATTAGCAAAGCACTGTAAAGCGGGACCCGACTGTATACAGTTTAGGTCAGGAACTCAAACATATTTCAGTATTTTATTTTCAAAACAATAGGTTATGGTGAGAGGCCTGATTTTTCTGTGATGCTTATAAGCATGCATACTTATGATGCCTACTGTAGATAAATTCACTTGAGGAAGAGTGTACAGAACGGTAACTTAATTACATACTGTTTCCAAGAACACACTTTTAATCTAAAAGAACACTTGTTTTAAAACTGTTCAATCTATAGAGAAAAATGTATACCATAAAACTAATAGTGTAATCTACTTTTTCAGTGGGATGATGTATAAACAAATGGAATTTTATTTGCTGTTAATATATTATTTATTTATTTATATATGGTATACTCTGGAAGGCTCTAAGATTGCTGTTAAATTTTACTTTCCAATACATTGTATTACATTATACACCTACCATCTGACGTATGACTTGCTCGACATACGACCACTCGTACTTATGACCGTACTGTTTATTGCTTAGCTTAGGTTATTTTGTACTTTCTGTTCATGCATACGAATGTTTCCGCATGTTTTCATGCATACGAATAATTGTTTGTGTTGTACCCAGGGTTTCTCCTAAACCTTACAGTATAAAATACAGTACTAAAAGCATAAGGTTTGACTTGCGTCCATTTTGACTTACGACCGATTGGTCGGAACCAAGCTCGGTCGTAAGTCGGACGATACTTGTACACATACAGGCTTATCGTATATGGTAAAGGCCATAAACATAGGTTAAAATAGTTTACTGAAAAGGAAGATTATATAAATGTCTTCATATAACTTAAGCTATATTACTTTGCCCATTAAGTATAGAGAACTTTAAACTCCAACATAGACCAATCCCTGAACATAACACAACACAAAACTCTTTGACATCCGTCTCTGACTCACCTTACAATGGACTGATTGCATCATCTTCACTTCGCTACTACATCTGCTACCTTTGTATTTGATTTAAGAAGCCTACCATGTAGGCGAAACATTTCAATAATAAAGATGCCAAGCTGCTGCACATGTCTCACTCATCAAAATAATCTCTTTTATTTATCCACCACAACTGCAATATCTGCCACCCCATTCCTCCTTTTGATCCATTAACTAGAGGGTTTACTGTATACATTACATACAGGTCATGGACTGGGCCATGGGGGAGTTGATCCCCCGAACACCCTCCAGGTATACTCCTAGGAGAAGAGGTACAAGCAGGTGACATCTCAACACTAGTACTGTACTCTACAGTATACTATTTTATTGTTATTAAGTTGATATATGGAAAACACCTACTTTCATCTAACAAGAGTTTTCTTGCAACAGAATACTGAACGTGGGTTTGAGAACACCGGTAGGTTACAAAGTTCCACTATGACCCTGAATAGCATACTAAATATTTCTACTAATTTGAAAAGCTACATTTCTCAACAATATGGGAAATAGTCACCTGCTCATAATGTGTCATCTTCTCTGCCATTATGCTGAAACTGAAAAAGAGGAAAAAGAGTTAAGCCAGTTTTTTTAATAAAATGTTTTAAACAAATTTACGTATTCTCTTTTATATTTCTTATTCGTTCCATCTTAGTAAGTTTATTTAGGTACAGGTACATACAAGTACAATTATCATACACAGGGTAAATTACCTAAGATAACCCAAAAAAGTCAGTAACTTATTTCTATTGGGGTCCTTTCTATTAACAGTATATAAAGGTAAATGCCAAACTTGCAAAAATACTACTTGAACTACAACTAACAAAACCTACATAATGTTTCTAAACAAAGCTTAAAAATGTTCATTTGGTTGATCCACAGGTAGGGCAAGGGTAAATTCTTGGGAATACATCTAGACAGCAAACTAAAATTCAACATACCTCCAGAACATTACTAAAAAAAAATTAGTTTACCTGGAGTTTACCTGGAGAGAGTTCCGGGGGTCAACGCCCCCGCTGCCCGGTCTGTGACCAGGCCTCCTGGTGGATCAGAGCCTGATCAACCCAAACATCCCTGCTGACTTTGAGTCTTATATCCATTAGGGGCCTTTAATCCTTTTCCCCAGGATGCAATCCACAACAGTAAACCAATATCTCAGGTGGCTACTTGCTGCTAGGTGAACAGGAGCAACAAATGTAAGGAAATATGCCAAACATTTCATCCATGTTAAGAAACGATCCCTCCTCTCTCATGGACCCCAATGGAAATAAGTCACTTTGACTTTTATGGGTTATCCTAGATAATTTACAATAAGTATGATAAATGTAATTGTGTACCTGTGCCTACACTTACTACTTACCATCCACAAGATAAGATAAGATAAGATTTCGTTCGGATTTTTAACCCCGGAGGGTTAGCCACCCAGGATAACCCAAGAAAGTCAGTGTGTCATCGAGGACTGTCTAACTTATTTCCATTGGGGTCCTTAATCTTGTCCCCCAGGATGCGACCCACACCAGTCGACTAACACCCAGGTACCTATTTGCTGCTAGGTGAACAGGACAACAGGTGTAAGGAAACGTGTCGAAATGTTTCCACCCGCCGGGAATCGAACCTGGGCCCTCCGTGTGTGAAGCGGGAGCTTTAGCCACCAGGCCACCGGGCCACCACATATATTTTAAAAATAATGTATTTTAAAAATAAGTGCTATAAGGACTGCAATGGAAATAAGTCACTTTGACTTTTTTGGTTTATCCCAGGTTCTTCACACATATATTACTATGTATGATAATCTATGTAACTGTATTTGTGTATACCTGAATAAACTTACTTACCCGTATGGGTCATATAGACAGCGACATGAAATTAAAAAAAAATACAATTATACAGTCATTCAACACTTATTTATTTATTGATAACATATTAATATTAGATTTACTAGTCAGGGGGAAGTGTTAGACCTATATGGGATATACATCACCCGGGGAACGAGAGGCAATCATTTTTGATCCAGGGAAGTGGAGGACTGGTCCCTGGAAGACAAGATCCCCCCTTTTGAGGGACTAGCACTAGACCCGTAGGGGTATCATGACACCTCCCCCTTCAGGAGTATATTAACAAGCTATTCCCAGTCTATCACAGGGAAAACATATTCTCCAAAAATCTGTTTTCATCTTTTCGGAGCATAAAATATAGTTATAAGGGACGAGGTGAAGATGACAAGACAATATAATCCCAAAAGTCCAGATATATTTCCCATCATTAGTATTACATACAACATGATGCCAGCCTCATAGCAACTAGAAAGTTGCTTATTTTTTTGTTGATGGAAAGTCGCTTTTTTTGTGTCATTAATTGTTTGATACACACACACACATGTCATCAAAGTTTCAGTAATCCACATAACAATAAATAAGTTCATTACCTCAAAATTAACTTTCAAAACCCACAATAATGCAGAGTAAAACAGCATGACCCTCACCTTCAACAGCTGCTGTATCACTGCTTCTTCACTCCGGACCTTCCCCAGGCACCCCGGGCTCTACCAGGCTCTTCCAGGCTCTACCAGGCTCCCTCCACTATCATCCTCCACCCCCAGACCTCTTCCTCCCCAGAACTCCATCAAAACATAAGATTTCGTTCGGATTTTTAACCCCGGAGGGTTAGCCACCCAGGATAACCCAAGAATGTCAGTGCGTCATCGAGGACTGTCTAACTTATTTCCATTGTGGTCCTCAATCTTGTCCCCCAGGATGCCACCCACACCAGACGACTAACACCCAGGTACCTATTAGCTGTTAGGTGAGCAGGCGTTAGGAAACGTGTCGGCATGTTTCCACCCGCCGGGAATCGAACCCGGGCCCTCCGTGTGTGAAGCGGGAGCTTTAGCCACCAGGCCACCTAGAATGTGACTTGGACCTGTCTCCGGCAGGCCTACTGGCCCTTGCTAGACAGGTTCAAGCCACATTCACACTTGTGAAAGAGTATCCTTGTGGAATCAACACCTAGTCAAGCACGTCAAGAGATTAGAGATAAAAGGTTTGCAACAAGATTAGTCCCGGGACTAAGGGCCCAGTCTAGTTGCAGACAAGAGATGTTAAAGGAAATCAACCTGACAATACTGGAGGACAGAAGGGATAGGGGGGCACATGAAAACGACATAAAATACTGAGAGGAATTGACAGTATGGATAAGAACAGGATGTTTCAGAGATGGCACACAGTAACACGTTATTATAATCATAGGGAGCGCTAAACCCGTAAGATTATACAGCGCATGTGTGGGGGGGAATGGAAGGTATTCAGACTCGATTCAGGGAACTGGAGCACAGATCCAATTCCCTAGATCAAGAGCCCCTCACCAGCATCACAGTAACAAGGGGCCACAACTGGAAGTCGAAGACTCAATGAGTCACAAGGATGTTAGGAAGTACTTCTTCAGTCATAGAGTTGTCAGGAAGTGGAACAATCTGGAGAGTTATGTAGATGAGGGCAGGACCCATACATAGTTTTAAGAAGAGGTATGATAAAGCTCGTGGAGCAGGGAGAGAGTGGACATAGTTACAACCAGTGAAAAGGCGGGGCCAGAACCTATAACTCGACCCCTTCAGCCAAAAAATAGGTGAGTACTGTGCAGATCTACCTGCCCAAACTAAGCAGGTACCAGGTCCAACTCACACCCACTCATGTAATTTTCTAACCTAGTTTTCAAGCTACACAAGGCTTTATTTAGCTTCAATGACACTATTCGGGAGTTTGTCCTACTAATCCACAACTCTTGTTACCAACCCAATGTTTTCCAAAATCCTTTCTAAATCTATTTTTTTTCCAGCTTGAATCCATTGCTGAGAGTCCTGTCGTGGTTACATATTTTTAGCACGTTATTTACATCCCCTTTATTCATTCCATTTATACACCTCAATCATATCCGTGAGGGCGGTAACCCCTGTAACACCCTCCAGGTATATCCTCCTTTCTAGAGAGTGCAGATTCAGGGCCCTCAGTCTATATCCTCGTAGGAACGATTTCTGATATATGGGATCAACTTTGTCATCCTTCTATGTACGTTTTCAAAAGCATTTATGTCCAGAACTGTGCAGCACAATCTGAGTGAGGCCTTACCAACGATATATAGTTGAATAATCTGAGGACTCCTGTTATTTATACTTCTTGATATGAAGCCAAGAATTCTTTTAGTTTTATTGCAAACATTATGCACTGCTGTCTTGATTTTAGATTAATGCTAACCAGAGCTCCTAACTCTTTTTCGCAATCAGTGGTATTAAGAAATATATTATTAAGTTTATAAGAGCCATGGTTATTTTCCTTTCCAAGCTTAGAGCATTTGTCTGTATCAAACTGCATCTGCCACTTCTCTGATCACTCCATCAGTCTATTCAGATCTTCCTGTCAGAATGAATCCGACGCCCTCTTTTGGTGTCATCGGCAAACTTCATTATGTCGCTTTTAATTCCCTTATCTATGTCGTTTATGTATATTGTGAACAACTAAGGGCCCGTGGCCTGGCAGGCAACACTCTCCCTTCACACACTGAGTGTCCGTGGTTCGATCCCCGGCAAGGGTGAAAACATGAGGAGGCGTTTCCTTTAAGACACCTGCTGTTTCTGTTCACCTGTCAGTCAGTAAAATAGGTACCTGGGTATCAGTCGACTGGTGTGGGTCGCATCCTGGAAACAAAATCGACCTTCACGGCGCGCATAACGGAGATAAAACACCTCAATTACTGGGAGCGCTTGAGGTTCCTAAACCTGTATTCCCTGGAACACAGGAGGGAGAGATACATGATTATACACACCTGGAAAATCCTAGAGGGACTAGTACCGAACTTGCACACGAAAATCACTCACTACGAAAGCAAAAGACTTGGCAGACGATGCAACATCCCCCCAACGAAAAGCAGGGGTGTCACTAGCACGTTAAGAGACCATACAATAAGTGTCAGGGGCCCGAGACTGTTCAACTGCCTCCCAGCATACATAAGGGGGATTACCAACAGACCCCTGGCAGTCTTCAAGCTGGCACTGGACAAGCACCTAAAGTCGGTTCCTGACAAGCCGGGCTGTGGCTCGTACGTTGGTTTGCGTGCAGCCAACAGTAACAGTCTGGTTGATCAGGCTCTGATCCACCAGGAGGCCTGGTCACAGACCGGGCCGCGGGGGCGTTGACCTCCGGAACTCTCTCCAGGTAAACTCCAGGTAAACAGTAGGGCGTAGTAAAGCTACAGAATGACTTTCACATAATGTAAATTTAGCACCATCTGGGATAAGTGATGATTCTGTAGGCCCAATAAATATTTTGATAGGTAGTGACTATTATGCCTCCTTTGTAAAGGGTATGGTAAAGAAATGTGGTGTCACCATTTTGAAGACTGCAGGAGGCCATGTAATGTATGGTAGGATTCCTCGTAATAATAATTCATGACTAGAGGAAACTACAAATACCATAACTGTGTGTCTTACTCATGAAATCGTACCCCAGTATAATTCTTCCATAGAGGATGGTGTTGAGCCAGTGCATAAATTGTGGGAATTAGACAGCATTGGAATAAATGTAAATGAAGAAAGTCCAGACGATTCTTTTACTCAGGAACAATACCTGAGAGATGTAAAATTTGAATCTGGACAATACTGGGTGCAACTTCCGTGGAGACTGAACCATCCAGAATTGCCCACTAATTACAGAATGGCATATGGACAATTAAAGGCTCAGCTCCGCGAACTGAGTAAGACACCAGAATTGTTAACTGCCTATAATGATATAAATGCTGAGCAGTTAATTAATAAATTTATAGAAGAGATACCTCCTGAGCAAGCCAAAATTTATGGTCACTATTTGCCACATCATGGAGTGAAGAAGGATTCTAAGACCACTCCTCTGAGAATTGTGTTTAATTGTAGTGCCAGGAGTAACAAAAATGTACCTAGTTTAAATGACTGTTTGATGACGGAAAAATTAGGAGATATTAAATTTCAGGATGAAGAATTATGCCTTTACGTGTGATATAAGTAAAGCTTTCCTAAGAGTGGGTTTACAAGAGGCTGACCGGGATTGTACCCGCTTCTTATGGCCTGAGAATCCTAGTGACCCACTTAGCACTCTGAAAACCTTTCGCTTTAGGAGCGGAGCGTATTATTTGGTGCTACATCCAGTCCGTTCCTACTTCAAGCAACGATAAATGCACACCTTAAACGTATGGGAAGTCCATTGAATAAAGTAATGAGCAAACAATTTTATGTGGACAATTTCCTGGGTGTGACGTCAACTGAAGAGGAACTGTTAATGACTTATGGAGAGGCTAATAAAATAATGCAAAGTGCAAATATGCCTCTGAGGGAATGGAATAGTAATTCGTCCAAATTAAAGGACAAAATAAGTAAAGATTTCCCTGGAGATGAAATGCCAAAATGTAGTAATGTATTGGGTTTAACTCGGGATACTGAGAGAGATTTGTTAATGTTAAAACCTAATAATTACAGTATGCCCAATAAATTAACTAAGAGAGTTTTGCTTGCTGAAGTTTCCGAATGTTTTGATCCACTAGGTTTAGTGTCACCCCTTACTATAAGAGGGAAATTATTAATTCAGGAAGCATGGAAACTTAAATGTGCTTGGGATGAAATTCTACCTGAGGAATTCATTAACGAGTGGGATCAATTAATTGGTGATTATGAAAAAATTCCAATGTTGGAGTTCCCGTGCCAGGTGGCCAATGCAAATGGGAAAAATGTACCCCACATTTTTTTTGATGCTTCAAAATTGGCATATGGAACAGTTGCTTACCTTCAATGTAATAGTGTTATTTCTCTTGTTATGTCTAAGGCTAAAGTGTCTCCAATTAAATCACGTACTTTGCCTCAAATGGAATTAACAGCCATTCATGTAGGTGTCAAATTAGCTAATTATATAAGAAATAAGTTGCAGGAGATAAATATTAGCGACACTGTAATTCGGTCTGATATGAGGTATCCTTACAATGGATTCGTAATGGAAACAGTAAAATTGTGTACGTACAAAACAGAGTCGCTGAAATTAATCAGATGCAAGAGAAGTATAATAGTTTGGGTCAGCATGTGTTAACATTTAATCATATACCTGGTGAGGAGAATCCAGCTGATTTCTTGTCTTGAGGTTTACCTTATGCTAAATTTGTAAATGCTGTATCATGGTTTAAAGGACCAAGCTGGTTGGTAAATAAAGCTAATTGGCCTGTACAAAAGGCGTATATTGCTCCTGTTGAAATTACTGTGACCACCACTCCAATAGTTTGTCCTTCCTTAGTCATTGATATAAATAGGTATTCTTCTTTACCCAAACTAATCAATTTAACTAAGTTGGTGTTTAAATTTCTAAACAAGATGAATATTTCATATAAGTTTTCACATCCTCTTGAATATTGTATAAAGAGGGTACAGGAGGAAATCTATGGAAATGAGATTAAACTGATGATGGAAAGAAAAATTGTGAAAAGTTCCATAATAGAGAAATTGGGGCTGTATTTAGAGAACAATGTAATTAGGTGCAGAGGTAGGTTACAAAATGCTGAATTGGGTGATTATACTAAACACCCTATCTTAC